GTTATTTAAGACTAGAATAGGTAAAATAAGTGGGTGATGTAATTCGATAGAGTAACGTGAGCTGCACTTTTCCCAAGTGATTTACAACTTATAATGGCACTGATAGCAGTTACACACTGTTCAGAGGGCAATAAAACAATAAAATTTAATTATAAATAGATATATAATGTTACAATTTGAAGTCATACTAGAAAGAAAAGAAGGTTAATTTAGTTTTATTTCAATTTTTTTTTTGGCGGTTACAAGGTCGGTCAAATTGACCAATCCCGTTTTAAGATTAGGGTAGAGAAAATAACAAACTATAAAGATTTAGTGAAAAAAAACAAAAAAAACGTTTTAACTACATTTAGGAGGTTTTGGGGATTACACAAATGAAATTTTAGATTTTTGAGATGGCAAAAAGTATTTTTAATTTTAACATGAAAATTACTTCCCACACGGACTTTTCAAAACAAATATTCAATATATTCATGGACAAAACTATTTTATTAAAAGTACTTCACTAAGAAATATGATTTTTTGTATGTGAAAGACTGCCAAATAAAAGCCAGTGCATTTTGGCAACACTACATTTTAACAATGGCTTTTATTTAATGCACTGAAAGTGTAATACAAAATGTATATACAACAAAACCAGAAAAATATTTGTTGATTTCTTAATTTAGAGTCTCCTTTAATTAAAAAGGTTTGTTTTTTGTTAAACACATTGGTGATATAGCAGAAAATAGCTTACTTCTGAAACAATTTAAGTTTAAAATTGAATCAATATTTTTACTTTTATGATAAATTATGTACTTGGCTTTAAGTTAAGTAATCCCACACTATGTCTTTACTTTAGGCTTATTATACCAACACTCACTACACTTATTTCATGGCACACACACCCCTCACCACTCCCTTGCACTCCTGTCACTCAAATTGTAATGAGCAGATAATCGAATTACTTTATCTGGATAAATGCATTTTGACTTTTATGACTCCTCCCATTTAATAATAATAATAATAATAATAATATAAAAAAAAAAGAGTGATGTAACACACTGGCTTTTATATAGGTTAGATGAAGGTTTAAATGTAACTATACATACAATGGAATTAGTGTCTTTAGTTTTATAGTATCTACTTTAATAGCATTCTAAATTATAACAGTACATATTACTTACATTACTCTTTTAGAACCAATTTATTGAATGATGTTTGTAGCTTTTCTTGTAAGTGAAATAAGTAATTTCTACAGTTAATGAACATTTTACAATGTTCACTATTTTACCTCAATACACCTGATAAACATGAATTATGTAATACTAGGCATTCCCTCAAAATAAATTTTCTTACCACCTGACATTAAGACTCATTCTGGTTGAAGCATATAGTGGTAACAGTTAACTTGTTCACTAATCTATACAAATGCATATTAAATGTAAAATCTGTTTCATGATGTTATTATGTTACTTAGGTAGAACCACAAGTATTTTTAAATTGAAGCTTTATGAAACTAAGAAAGAAATGACACTTAATTACAGACATACTTAGATTTAACAGATTCCCAAAACAAATCATGACTTTGAAAAGTATCTAAAAAAGATTTAATGTTTTAAGAATACACCCCGTGAAATTTGTAACAAATGCTTGTACAATGTTACAGTTTACAACGTTCTATAGTGTGCAAAATTAAAATTTTTTTTCTGGTTCAAAACCAATAAAACACAGTGACATCCAACTACCCTTGAAATAACACTTAAAATAATCAAAGTATGAACATTCAATCTTCAATCCAAACACTTCTTTACTTTGATCTTATATACCACTGGCATTTTTATTGTCAAAATAGTCACATGTAATAAGATCATTCAGTAACAAGTTTCTTGGAATATTTATGATGGCTTATGATTTTTTTTATACTTAGCATCTGGCTTAAAATATCAATTTTACTGTACTTGCATATGAAGGTCCAGTAGATAAAACAGACTACAAGCCAGATAGAAAACAAGCGCTTGCACATAGTAAATATTCTAAAGCAAAATACACTATGGTGTGTGTATGTGTGGAGAAGAGGAAAAAAAAACACAAGTAGAAATTGTGCTTACGAACATTAAGTTACATGTATACATCGTCTACAAACACAAAGTACTGTAAACAGGATAGCTAGTACAACAACATCTGAAAATGTTTCAGAAATATAGAAATTCCCTTCACAATAATGCATAAGGCAGGTTAAAAAACAATTTAAAAGTTTGCAATAATATCAGTATGTGATAAATTACAAGATATAGTTTTATCACGTGTGCACCATTTCAAGTAGTAGTAATAGTAATACAAGAGGACATTCAAATGACCTGACTAAACATTCTGGTTTAGAGTTAAATTAAAAACTGTTCATTTCACATATTAATAATTTTGAGGATTAATTAGATTTCTTCGTATATACACTCCATACTAGTGAAAGATATGTCCTCACTTGACTATAATTAAATTTATCCAATATTATTTTTCAAATTAGCATTATACTGAATCAGATTTGTGATATTCTTAAAAGCCAATACAAAACCTTAAAGTAATGTTTGTTTGTTGTTTTTTTTTTGCAAAGCTCGATAAAAATTACATGAACATAGCTGTACATAGGTTTGATATGATAGACTAGAAGAAAAGCCTCCAGTAAACAGCAACCACTATCAATTCTTGTCTAACCAAATATTAGTATTTGGCTGACTCTCTTAGTGCACCCACAGCTCTAAAATACAGAGTGCATTTTTATGGCAGTGAAATGTGAGCATCAACTCAGATTCACAAGCTGGGCACACTAACCACAAGACCACACCCAGCCATAAAGGAGTAATGAGGCAAAAATCAAAATAATTTAAATTTAACTATGATTTTGCAATGCATTATAAACCACAATAAAAAGTACAAAATAAAACTCTACTACCTGCAATATTTCCTAAGGCCCACACAGCTTGTTCACAAACATGAGAATGTTGTGAACACAAGAGTTTGATAAAAAGTGGTACAGCTCCAGCATCCACTACACACCGAGTTTGGTCCGAATTTCCTGATGCTATATTTGTAAGAGCCCAAGCTGCTTCAAACTGGAGAGGGGGGCTGGAAAAAACATGTTGATTACAACTATATTTCAGCATGCATGTAAAGTAGCACTAAATCTAATTAGATAACTATCAAATTATGCTCTTATCCACCAATGAGTTATTGATCACTATTTGATTTTCCCAATTTAACAGTTCTAACAACTTGTATTCTTATTTGTTTAATGATTATTCCCCCCTTTTTCTACTCAAGCAACAATAAACACAAATTAAGCACTGTCTTTAATCTCAAACTCTATTTTAAACACAAATATAAAACTTACAATTAGCTCGCAAAAACTGCATACACATGTTTATTAACAAAACAAGACTTAACAACCACAACAAAAACACTACATAAATTAAAAGGATCACCAGAACATAAACAATAATGTGAAATATAAGATGTCTGTGGATTTTGGAGGTAACTGCAGAATCAGTACCCATATTGCAGTGGAGATAACAGTTCTACCAATCTTAACTTTCATTCACTAGTCTCACATGTTAAAGAAAGAATAAACAACAAATAAATAAGTTAGGAAAGCCAGATATGGGGGCTCAAGCCCAAACATCCCATATCTATACCACCCTTCACTGCCTGCAGACAATTCTGGGAAGGTGACCGCTCTCCAAAGAAATATGAAAGATAAATAAAAACAAGATCCTACCACTGAGGGTAAGTAAGGCAACCTTATCTTCTGACATTGGCATTCCAGCCCCCACTATAGCAGAAAAGGCCAAAATTAATACAGTAATTAGTAGTAGACAAATTATACTAGTATGAAAGTATAAAAACCCAACCAAGTTATGTAAACTAGTATAATTCCCAACCTCCACTCCTTAAGTTTATTCGTAAAGTCTATTGTACCTACTAATTTTCAGAGTTTATCTACCCCTTTATAAGAGCTTTTATATTTATGTGCAGTAGAAGTGTTCATAAATGCATAAAAATAGTGCAGTGCCTAGTTCAGGGCTCAAAATTATCAGGGACCAGGAATCTGCTAAGGTAGCCCCCTTTAATGCACTATCCAAAAGGACCCACACTAATGAGCAGCTAAGCTGCGAACAAAACTGCTTGCCGATCAGTCAGGATATCACAATCAGGGGATGTACAGCAAAAAAGCAAAACAAAATTCCTTGGTAAATATATTGGATTGAAAACTTTCAGGTCCAGAAGGAGCCTGAAATATAACCAGGGCAGTCAGAAACTGTAATTTCTATTTGCCCTGTTCGCAAAAACTACTGAGGCTGTAAAGAAATTAAGATTCAAGAATTGAGTGCTTTGATGAAATAATGTTAGGCTTAATGTTGATGAAGCATGAGAGACCGATTCACAAGTATGATTGGTGAATAAGGTAAACAAGGAGTTGATACCTCGTAATAATAAATGTCGAGGAAAAACCGAGACAGCAAGGAGATGGAGACAGGAAATTCACAAAAAGAAAGAGGGCAATAATGAAACTGGAGAAGGCTTCAATATAAGAAATGGACGTTGACAAAGCAGGTGTGAAGATGGAAAGAACCAATACTGTACCAAGAATATCCAGTTCAAAGTTCACACCACTTGTATAAATAAGAGTGATAATTAGGGTCTGAAGCAATTAATTAATTAATTGATTTTTGATAATGGATGAATACATCTAAAACTAGTACAGATAGTAACATCTAAAATGGGTTTCAATTTATTAAAATTGATGGCAAAACAAATACTCAGTATATTCACGAACAAAACTTTATTTTATTAAATGTACTTCACTAAGAAATATGACTTTTTGTATGTAAAAGACTTGTAATATTAACAGAAAGACTGTCAAATTTCGTGAAGATATACCCAATATATAGAGTTATAACTATTGAATTTATGTCAACTTTAAACGAGTACAGAAGGTCACGTGACTCGGTCCCAGAGACAGAGCCCATGTCGAAAGAATTAAGATAAACGTATGTAGTTCCATGTTGCAATTTGAAGTCACTCTAGAAGAAAAAAAAAGGGGGGGGGGAAATTTAGACTTATTTCTATTGGTTTTTTGTGGTTACGAGGTCTGTCAAATTGACCAACCTTGTATAGAGTTAGGGTAGAGAAAATAACAAATGAAATATAAAGTTTTACTGACAACAAATATTTGAAATGTATTTAGGAGGTTTAAGAGGTTACGCAAATGAAATTTGAGATGCAAAGTATTTTTAATCTTAATACGAAAGTCACTTTGCACACAGGCTAGTCAAAACAAATACCTGATATATTCACCGACAAATCTATTTTTTAGTTTATTAAGAATACTTCATTAAAAAAAATGACAGTATGAAAACTATAAAGAATTTAAACAAGCACAAAAACGTCACATGTTCGGTCAAAACGAACAGGCCCATGTTGAGTGTTAAAGAATGTTTCAGAAAGATTTGTCCATGAACTTTCAAAGCCTTTACTGTGTTAGTCTGAGTGAAAGTTAATTTTAATGCTAAGAATGGAAATACTTCATATTTCATTTGCATAATGTTTATAATGTTATAAATCAATAAATTTTTGTTGTTGTTTTTTGGCCAAATTTTATATTTTCTCTAGCCTAACAGCATACTTGATCCTTGAGTCTGCAGAAATCATTAATGTATAACTGAAAAATGAGTAATACCATTCTTTTGTCTAAACTGACAGTGTTCTTTGGAAACTTAACTCATTTAACAGTTTTAACTCAACTATGAACCTTTTCACTTCCGTTTTCTTTTTATGACTTTATTGCAGTACTTTGTACCCACTGGAGCAGTAATCTATGCATTTACTAAGCAATATGTTACAGCAAAAGCCTGCAGCCATTTCAAATACTAGTAACATAACACATGCATATGAAATTTGAAACTTTGTGCTGGTTAGCTCAAGCTTGGAGAATTTTAGATATTTTACTGAAGTTCTTATACACTAAGCTGAAAAGCTTACAACTTTTAAATTTTAGTTACTTTTGCTAGAAAATATATAACAAATAGAAAGCAAGGACTTGTAATATTCACAATATATTCTCAACAATTTGCACTCCAAGAGTTCTTCAGAAAGTCTCATAAATTTGGGTTTCCAACAATATATTCATGTAGATCTCAAACATGAATTTTAGAGATATAAAAATATACATTAGTAACAACAATAGAATGTCTGAATGCTACTATAGTTTATCCAGCCGTCTATGTAAGATACAAATGGCTTAAAAACATTCTGCTAGCACTACAATGATAACTTAACAAAAAACATTTTAATGATGAATAATTGGGACAGCGAGTTGAAAACCTGCTCTATTGCTCATAAGCATAACCACCAGCCATGTAAAGTTGATTAGCAAAACAATCTCAAAGTCAAAGATTCTATGGTGGGCTTGACAAATTTATTGCTATCTTGGAATATTAAAGTAGAGCATTCAAGTTTCAGATTCTTGCTTGTAATTATTTACACTTGTGTTTCTAATTAGCTGGAAAATGTAATAGCTTAGTTTTGATGTTTGAAAATATTGTACTGAAGATATCAGAGGTCCATGGTGTCACATGACACAGAAAAATAAAGACTGAGAAATTAAAACCTTAATGTAAAAATTTGAATTTAAATTACATTTTCATATTAAGTCTATTGACATATGTTGATAATAGTTATTTAAATACTTTTTGAATATAACACTGCTAAAGGTCACGACATGCACACTTTGACTGGGCCACTCAACCCTTTTGCGACGGGCTTGGTATAATATACACGAGTTAAGTATATACAACTTTTCAAGCAGTAAGTATATCTTCACAAAACTTGGTAGACTTTTAGTAAAAATTACAAGTCTTTCGTACACAAAAAAAAATCAGATTTTTTAATCAAGTATCTTTATTATAGATTTGTTTGGGAAAATAGTCTGTTTCATTCCCAGTCCAAGTGATTTTCATCTTGTAACTAAAAAAAACCATTGTTCGTCCAAAAATGTCAAATATTATTTGTGTAATCTCCAAAACCTCCTAAATACACATCATACATTTGTTTTCAGTAAAATTTTAAATTTTTTTCTGATATTTTCTCTACTCTAACTCTATGGGATCTGTCAATTTGACCGGCCTTGTAACCACCATAAACAAATTACAAAATACATTTAAATTATGCTTTTTTCATTCTATGCTGACTACAAATTATAACATAAAAACACAAATATTTAGTCTAAATAGCTTAAATCTCGTAACATTATACATTTATATATATTTATTATTTTTTATCATAATGACCTTCCAGCCAGATCTGGCTAACAATACAGAAGTTCCAATGATGCAGCACACGTGCACTCCCAATACAATATCCAATAATATAAAAATGACCTTTAGTCTTTACAAAATGACCTGGCTTGGCTGTATTTTTGTGGAGTAGTATTTTGTAAAATACAGTCATATTTCAATTATTATACATTAAATATGTATATACATTAATACTATTTACAAACAAGTTCTCATACTTATTTTTCTTAAAACACAGAACAGTAAATAAAGAAGTAAAGCAAACAATTATATCTTCTAGTTATGACCTTTGTACTCGTTTGCTGCTTGTCATAGGTTGCCAAGCCTTATGAAATTCCCCACATGGAGGATGTGAAAAGAAAAATTGTAAATAACCAAAAGAAGAAGAAAAAAAAAAAGAATGCTAATCTACTGTATCGATACCATAGAATTTCACTATAATTTATCAAGCATAGTAACTAAGCTATATTTGGGTCTAAAAAATACTACATTTCAAGTTCACTAAAGACTTACCTTATCTTTCGAAATCTTGTGTGAAAAGAACAAGATTAATCAAATAATACATCAAAATAGCTGAAAAAACCACTAGGGAGACATTATGAGCTTTCAATTGGTTATTCATGTCATATATAGAAGTGTACACTGAGTGGTCACAAGTAAATAGACACCTAATTATTCGTCATTTAACTGATTTATGCTAACTAATTTGTGTTCACAGAGCACTATATAAATGAAAATGGTCAGCACACTAATTATCTTGTGCTACAACATGCATAGAACTCAAGGTTCTCTCGATTTGTTAGAGGAAGGATAGTTGGTCAAGCAGATGGTGGAATAAGTCAGCGGCAAATTTCGCAGAATTTGGGAATCCCTCTTTCGACAGTCAACAAAATCATCATGCAGTTCAGGAAACACGGCAAGGAAACAACTGAGCAGCATCCGGGTCGTCCTGGTCCGTCGGAGAGGACAAAAAGGGTTGCCAAGAGGAGCATCAAAATGGATCCCAGATTAACGATTGCAGAAGTGGCCAAAGTTGGTAGGATGAGCCAGAAATATGTTCAACGGATTCTCCACAGATTGGGTTATCGTTGCAGAGCAGCTAGATGGAAGCCCTTATTAAGACCTGCCAACACAGTCAGACGAAAGA